CCCCCCCCTCCCCCTGTATTCGTCAGTGCTTGAGTAAAGCACTGACATGTTAGAAATTAGTAAACAAAAGCGATGTGGTAGCAAATTAATGTTGGGCTGAAAGTTGTGAGGTTGAGGAGGCTAAAAGCTGAAGCGCATAGGCAAAAAAAACATTTTTTCTATGAGGGTTATAACTCACAGAATTACCGTGAGCAACGAGTGCGTCGCAGTCCGAGCGTACGTCTATGCATGTTCCAGTTGAAGTCGATGTGGCATTAACTGGATTTGGCTTATTATCCGTAGGAGTGGTCGCCACTACCGCTGCTACTTCATTCACATCTGTAAGCATAATGCTTCCAATTCACCGATAAAGTTTCACGATGCAGTTCGAAATATCGTTCGATATAAAAGAGAGAAGCAATTCTAAGTTTTTCGGGTCAGCCTGATTTACAAGGGTTCTGGAATTGAGATCCTCTCCGGATAAAAAACTGCGCCTGTGATTTTCTGTACCGGTAGATCTCTAGGATTAGCTCTCCGTGAAGTGTCCCATTCCACCGGTTAAACAGCTGGACTCTCTGCAGTCCAGCGAATGGACATTGGAAATCATTACTGAGTGGACAGTTGTAAAGTTTGTTGATTTTGAATGTGTCTAAGTTGCTGAAACGCAATCGCTGGCCAATAATGGCCGGACGCTTTGGTACCAGCGTTGGTTGTCCATTGCGACTGAATGCCCGTGGTCCGTAATGCATTATCGATTCATAATCATAATCAGCGCCCAGCGAATCGATCATGCCGTGATCGTACTTCTCAAACTGTCCTGTAATTAGTAAAATGTTTTTTCGTTGATTAAAGGTTCCTTATTTTGCAGTGAAAGGCAGATGTCCACTTCTTAATGCGCACCCGTGCTGTGAGATTTTCCTGATCACTCTGTCGTTGAAAACCCGCGATAAGCCGGTCGAGAAGCCGCCACAAAGAAAAAGAAAAGAGAAGAAAGGTGTATCTTGCCTTGAAAGGCAGATACACAGTAAATGTGCTATCAGGCTGAACATAGAGAACAAGGACCTGCGGTGTAGTAGTAACACTTCGGGTCGAAGGAGAACAGAAATAGTTCGATTCCTTCCCGGTCCAAAACAGTTTTCCTAGAAAGGGTTTCGCTCACGACACACTCTGGCCAAAACAAAAGACATACCTTGCATTCCGGGCTGTATGTTTTCCCACAGCACCGTAATGTGATAATCTCGATCTGCTCTGGACTGCTCATGAAAAAACCCGACAGCATGCATTAATTCGTGCATAATAATGCCTTTCTGTATACAGCCCGTACCAAGTGACACAGTTTGTTTGCCACCTTAAGGAAAACCCGGATAAATTCCAGATATGTGCCAGGTAGCAGAAGAACGTGCAACAGGGACAGCACAACTTGAAAACAGTACTGCGTGCACAAAATAACGAGCAGAATTCGAATTTTTCTTTCTCATATATTCCGAACTGCCGTTTTTTTTTTGAAAATTTTTTTTTCTCCTGAATCCGAAATACCAGAATTCCGCCGCTGACAGCCACTGGATTGGCCGTTGCACCAAGACCAACTAACATGTCAAAATTTGGGTGAGATTTATGAAAGCCGAAAAAATGGTGCCAACCAGTTTTGCCGACCATGGAATAGCATCCTCGATCGGGAACAATGTATATATAATCATAATCATCGACGGATCGAGGTACCCAGCGAACACACGTATGCAGCGCGTACTCCTCCATTGCAGCTGCTATCACCGAACGACTGCAAGCAAGCACACATTACTTGCTCCCCAGAAGTGAAGAAATCTTCCAGGATCGTGATGCTTCAAATCCATCATCCTCTCTCCTCGCTCTTTTGCCAGCAATGAGCAGGACAAAAATTTGCGGCAACGTTGCGTCCCATTTTCAGATTGCTTTAATTAGTGAGCAGTTCGGTGAACTGTACAGTGAAATTCTGTGAGTATGTGCAAATTCTGAGGGAACAGACTGCAACATTTTCGATATGGAAGAATTTTTTGCGAAAAATTTTTTAAAACAAAAACACACACACCGACTGTTTACTCATGCCTTCGCTCACTACGTGTCGTAACCTGATCCTCGCTGACCTTAAATAGCCAGGAAATGAACTAACCTA